AGTGAAAGAAGAAGTGTGCTGGCAAGTTACGGGGAAGGCACCCATTGGAACCAGATGGATAGACATTAACAGAGGGGATGAGTTACGCCCTGACCACAGGTCAAGGCTAGTGGCCCAACAAGTTAAATACAACTCCAAAGAAAATAATATATTTGCGGCTACGCCCCCACTGGAAGCACAAAAGCTACTCTTCTCAATGGCGGTTACCGAAGGAGTGGGATTTAAGAGAGGCGAGCGCGAGAAAGGATTAAAGCTGGCATTCATTGACGTGAAACGAGCTTACTTTTACGCTCCTGCAAAGAAATACATATTTATTAGGTTACCGGACGAGGATTACGAGCCGGGCATGTGTGGAAAGTTACTGAAGTCAATGTATGGAACAAGAGATGCGGCAAGCAATTGGGAAGACTGTTACATGGACTTTGCCATTAAAGTTGGATTCAAGAGTGGAGTTGCGTCACTGTGCGTGTTCAAGCACGAGACCCGAGCCCTATGGTTAACGGTCCATGGGGATGACTTTACTCTACTAGGTGGTGACCTTGACCTCGATTGGTTTGAAAATAAAATAAAGGAGGAGTTTGAGGTAAAAGTGAGAGGACGACTTGGACCGGGGGAGGAAGACATGAAGGCGATCAGGATTCTTAACAGGATTGTGGAGTGGACTGAGGAAGGATTGAGATATGAGGCTGATCAAAGGCATGCGGAAATAATTGTGAAAGAGCTTGAACTTGAGGGAGTAAAAGTGAGGACTGAGGTGCCAGGTGAACGCATTCCAGTTGAGGAGGGAGACGAGGTAGAACTTTCGCCCAACATGACTAAGCGATATCAGGCATTAACGGCTAGAGCGAATTATTTAGCTCAAGACAGATCGGACATACAGTATTCAGTAAAAGAACTTGCTAGGACCATGTCAAAGCCAACTATGGGTTCGTGGAAGGTCTAGTCAAGCTACGAAAGTATTTGAAGTATCGCAGCAGAAGCAGTTACGTGTATCAGTATCAAGAACAGCCTCGAGAGTTGACGATTTGGACGGACACAGATTACGCAGGATGTAAACGAACTAGGAAGTCTACGAGTGGAGGAGTAGTGATGTGGGGTAAACACCTTATAAAATCTTGGAGCACAACTCAAAGTGTAATTGCATTATCGTCAGGGGAAGCAGAGTATTACGGGCTTTTGAAAGGAGGATCAGTCGGACTGGGGCTTCAGGCAGTGTTGAGGGATTTTACCTTGGAAGTTGAGATCATCTTGAAAAGTGATGCCACGGCTGCAATCGCAATTGCGAGTAGACGAGGTTTAGGACAAGTAAGACACATTGAAGTATGTCAACTGTGGCTGCAGCAGAAGGTAAAGGAGGGAGTGATTCGAATTGCGAGAGTAGGTACACATGAGAACGTAGCAGATGCATTAACCAAGTATGTCAGTCGTGAAAGTATGAGCACACACCTGCTAAGCACAAACCAAAGCGCATTAACAGGTCGGCACAGCCTTGCGCCGGCCACCGAGTGTTGACATCCGCAGTTCATTTCTGTCAAGCAAGCTGTCTTGATTAAGGCTTCCTCCATCCTTTACCTCTTTCCCTCGAGCGTGAACGAAAGCATGGCGGACCATCAAGTCAACGTCACGATCAACGGCGCGGCGGTCGACCAGAGCCCGCCTGGGGCAGGACCGGTTACGCGCGAGAACCTCAATCGCCGCGTCGACGATATCGTCAACGTGGCTCATGCGTTCACCATGACCCTCACCAACATGGCCATTAACTTCCACGGGGCCTATGATAAGCACGTTGACGAGATGCAGAGGGTTGCCGATGATATGGCGCGGAGGATCGTTGACTTAACGCAGCAGAACGCCGCGTTGGTTCACGCCAGTGACGACGTCAACGAGAATCTCTAGAGGGCGCAGGACGAGGTTAACAACCTTGTGGCGATGGTGATAGAGTTGAACATCAAGAATCGCGACTCGGAGGTTAACGCGGCGGAGAATGCAACCAAGTACCGGCGCATTAACGAAAATATCGGTTGCCTCTTGAATACCGCCAGGCGCCTTACCGAGAATATCACGCCCCTGCAGGTTTTCGAAGGTAAACGTGATGCGGCGCTACGTATGCTAGTGGGAGTTACCGAGTGGCTTGAGGGTTTGCAGAAGTTCTTGGATGACCCGATCAACTCCTCGGTTGCCGATATTCCGCAGGTGCCGCCGCCGTTACCTGGGTCGCCTCCGACGGCAGCACCCGCCAAGGCGCCACCCGTTGCCGCCACCGCGGCAGCCGGGCCCATGGCCGCGGGCGCGCCCCCAGCGCAGCAGGTTAACGTGGCTCCGCCAGGCAAGGCTCCACCTACTCAGGACCTGGCCGGCGTAACCGCTAAAGCCGGGGGGAGTCGGCGGTCCGTGTCACCGAACAAGATTCGAGCGTCACCGTTGAGCCGGCAGGGCGGTGAGGAGCCGCAGCCTGTTTACAAGCGGGCGCCGAAGGCCATGCGTGAACGTCGACGGGAGCTGGAGGAGTTGATGCAGATAGGCATGAAGATGGACGAGGATCGAACGGTTGGTGGTCAACGTGATGAGGCGCCAAAGGATCCTGCTCCCGTCGTAAACGCGAGGCCGGCCAAGCCGCCCCCTCCGGGGCTCGGCGAGTCCAGAGCGGCAAGCAGCGTTGCCGGCGTGAAGCCCCCGCCTCCAGAGCCCAAGAGGTTACCGATCCAGCGCGTCCCGCCACCGCAGCCTCAAGTCGTTAACCGCACGACTGATCAGGTTGAGGGGTACTCCAGGACCGTCGCCAGGGACACCACTTACCGCCCGCTGTACCACGTCAACGGTCGCATGTCCATGCTGAACAACAGGAGCGACGACTACGACGTTAACTTTCGGGCGGAAGCTGATCCCAGGGAGGTGGTAGCCTTAACGGTGAAGACACGTGACAACTGGCGCAGGTTTGAGGGTAACTTCGTCGGGCACGTGGCGAAGGCGGGGTTAACGACCCCTGGCGGCAGGTCCATTCAGGGCAACGCCGGGCGGGAGCTTAACGATTACGAGGACGTGTTCGTTGACATCTACGGCCGACGCGCTTACGGTTTCATCGGCTATGCCGTGTTGAAAGGTCCGGTCAGCTGGAGGTCTCAGTTAACGGACAAAGAGTTGGCCAAGCATGATGAATGGGTTGACGCGGTTGGGCACGTGCAGTCCCTATTTGACGATGACTACGTGCCACCGCTCTAGCTTAACGAGCTTCACTCATCGTGGTTTGAGCTCCACAGTTGCCCGGACACGCAAGTGTACGTCAACAAGGTGCCGGTGATGAACGAGAGGCAGCTTAACGGCCTCCTCTTAACGTGGGCAGGAATGCTGCCCCACGGCAACCCCACCGTGATCTCCGTTAAGCACCTGGTGGAGGACACCCATGGGCCGCACGGTTACATCTCGACTGGAGTTACCGTGATTCGCTTTGCGACGCCCGATCTCGCCAGGCTTTACTGCCGTTACATGAACGGGCTCCAGGTGCATTACCGTAACTACTTCATCGACGACCTCGAGGTCAGGAGCACCGCGGAGTTAAAGGGCAGCATCAGCAAGCCTCCAGTCTACTGGCACCAGACCATCTTGGAAGTTGCCCTTAACGATCAGGGGTCCATGAGGGCACTTTACCGTGATAATTGGCCGGCCGACCATGTCACCGAGCGTAAAAGCGATCACCGTGAGAAGCTTTGCTGGTTTGGCTGGTTACCGTGCGACGACTTCCCCAACTGGCTTACCGATCCGGCCTGGACTGTGAACCCGTTTACCGGCGCTGCAGTCGAAGAGCACCTCCGTAACAATCCAGGCGGTGGGCCTCTGTTAAAGGCTCCCCGCGCCAGTTACTGGAGAGCCATCGGCACTTACCACAACATCGTTGACGGCTCAATTAAGAGCCACGATGAGGGGTGCTGGCTTGACGACGAGGAGCGCATTAACGCGTACATGGACAACGACTACAACAGCCCGATGCAGGCCCTTAACAGGGTGTCGTCCTACACCGCAGCCGGTGTGGGCCATCGCGGGTTACCGAGGTCGAGGGGTTCACGAGCCCCGTCGGCGAGGCGCCCGCGCCGTCCGTGAAAGACGGCAGGCAGTCAGCATGCTGCAGTTCACGCTCTTCCTCATCTCCCCTCTTAACTTGGCTTAGCGATCGACTGGCGGCAGCTTGTTGAGCTGAGTTTGTTTGCATGCGCATCTCTTGTTGTTACCGCAGGTATTGGCGAATAAAAAACGTCAGCAGTCAAAATCATCCAAATGCCAGCCTGCTGTGTAAAATTTAGATGCTTCGTTTGAACTTGTGACAGTAAAAGCGTTTACTCGAGCTCAGGTTACATGTGTGAGAAACTTGGTGCTCGTAAGCGCCGTCACGAGACATTTCGAATTCAACAGTGTGATGAAGAGACTAGAGACTTAACGTCATTTGCGTGCGACGTTTTGTATAGCTTGACCTGTTTTCGTGATTGTTGACGCCTCCCCGTCAGCCTATGCGGACTAGCGTCCGAGGGGGGGTGTTAACATGTAAGCGTTCAGGTGGTTGGGGAGTGAAGGTGCCCCCGTTACTTTGGCTCAAGTGTTTAACGGCTGAAGCTACCGAGACTTGCTTCGCCGTGCCGAGGGAAAAAGGGTGACCGATCGTCATCGCTGTCACCGAGCTCCCGTGCAGAACCCTCCTCGGGGTTTTGCAGGAGGAGGAGGATGAGGAGGATGCGTTTGAGGAGGAGGAGGCGGAGGAGGAGTATGAGGATGAGGAGGAGGAGGCGGAGTAGGAGGAGGAGGAGGAGGAAGAAGAGGAGGATGCGGTTGAGGAGGAGGTTGGGAAGGAATGGGAGGAGGAGGATCAGGCGGCGGAGGAGGAGGAGGAGGATGAGGAGGAGGAGGAGGAGGAGGAGGAGGAGGAGGAGGAGGAGGAGGATGGAATGGCAGGAGGGAGCATGCAGGAGCAGGGATGCCACGTGGCGACGTGCGCGCCGCCTTGGAGCCTAAAGGACGCTGCCGCTGGCTGCTCGCTGGACCTCTCGGCCTGGAAGGGCGTGGAGCGGCTGGCCACCGCCGAGGGCGCCGAGGCGCTTCGCCTTTCCGCGCCGTCTGCGTCGTCGTCTGCGTCGCCGTCGTCTGTGGCCATCGCCGTTGTCTCCGTCGTCGGCCATCATCGTCGCCGTCGCCGTCGCCGCCGTCGTCGGCAATCGCCGTCGCCTTCGCCGCCGCAACCGCCTTTGTCGTCGTCATCGTCGTCGCCGTCGTCGTCGTCGATCGAGAATCGGGTCGATGTGTTTTTGGGCGTTTTTGGCAATCTTTTGGGCTCCAGTGCCCTCTAGAGGCCTCTGGGGACTTGCGGAGGCTTCCAGGGACTTGTCAAGGTCCCTGAATACTGCAGAGTCTCCAAGCCTCGTCGTCGTCGTCGTCGTCGTCGCCGGCAGGCTGCTGTGCACAGACACATGGTGATTGCCCCCTTTTGATACCTCAATGTGAGCTCTCGTTTGTATCAGGCGTGCACACATACCTGTGTGTGATATGCTCACCCCAAGCACCCCCGAACGACGGACTGGGGGATGGCATCCTCCTCATCATCATTCTCTTCTTCCTCCTCCTGCTCCTCTTCCTTCTCCTGCTCCCTCCTCCTCGCTTCTCTCCTCCCTCATCTCTTGTCCTCCTCAACGTCCTCATCCTCTTCATTTTCTTCGACCGATGCATCTTCCTCACCCGCCTCATCCTCACTATCCTCATCCTCATCTTCCTCATATTCTTCGTCCTCCCCAACTTCCTCCTCTCCTCATCCTCTTCACAATCCTGCTCACCTGCCTCCTCTCCTCATTCCCATCTCCTTATCCTTCTCATCTTCTTCATCCTCCTCATGCTCCATCGCTTGGGGTGGGGAGGGAGCATATGTCATTCGTCTCCCTCTTCCTCCGCCTCCATCCCCCTCTTCTGCGTGCTCGTTCTCCACGCCCCGCAGTGGGTTTCAAAGTTGGCTCCCTGGCGGTTTTCCATGACCTGCCTTCCTCTTACAACACTCCTCTAGAGAAGGAGCGAGGAAGACGAGGCGGAGCCAGGAGGAGGAGGAGGAGGAGGAGGAGGAGGAGGAGGAAGAACGGCAGGGGATATGGGGGCATCCTTTTGTCGGATGCTCCCGAGAGGACCACCGTCACAGATGAGATCCCGCAAACGAACGGCGCCCGTGCCCAGGTGATTCCGCTCCTCCTGCGTCTGCCTCCCTCCTCTCCCCCCTCCCCCCGTAACTCAGCATCTCTCGAGCGAGGGCGGTGCTGCTGCTTTCGGCTCGGGCACTGATGGGGCGCGCGCCGCCGAGGTGTCACGCGCCCCCGTGCCCCAGAGGAGCCGCTGGCCCACTGCATAGCCGCTGGCAGATTTCTTTTCGGTATATGCGATCCCATGTTCATGCGTGTGTCACGCAGTTTCTTCGAGAACAAGCGTTGCGTCGTCGTCGTCGTTGTCGTCGTCGCCCCCGAGCCGTCTCCCTCCCAACACCCCTGATGGCGCCTTTGACAGCAACGAATCGGGGATGAAACAAGGGAGGTGCATGTCCACATGGGTGTTCAGATGTTGTAGCATCAAATGGCTGTCGTCGTTCCTGCAGACGGGTGAGATTATCGCGCGCCCAGGGCTCGTGGCGCATCAGCGCATAGGCCAGACAACCTCTCTGTAAGTTGAGAAGCTCCGCCTCTTGTGTCGAACAAACAACGTCATTTGAGATGCCCGAATGCCAGCGCAGAGCCCGCGCCCTCACGCTGTTTCTGCTGTGGCCTGCTCCTTCCAGTCAGTTGGCGCCCTGGAGAGCGTAGCGGGCAATGTAGCAGCTGCGACGCGTTACCATGCATGTTTGCCACTGCGTGCAGTGGGGCGCACGTGTTGTCGCGTAGTACCCCGTCGTGGCCGTGTTGTTTGCGACCTTCCTCCGATTCCCCTCCCCCCACGAAAACTAGATGTCATGCTCGCCTTTTTTCAACTCTTGCCCGTTTTGGGGCAGCGCGGTATGTCGCGTGCGCTGCGATCGGCGCGAGCGGCAGATGCCCGAACAACAACAAAAAACAAAACAAACAACAAAACACAGCAACACGTAGTTTTTCCTTGTTCACAGACCCAGACCCCCCAGAACAACAACAATGCACAGCGTTTCCTTGCACCGAGGGCGCCAACCACTGTGCATTTTTGGCTGTTGGGTTTGGGAGGCGCGGAGCAGGATGCTGGGAGGGAGGCCTGTGCGAGCGCTGGGGCCCACAAAACCAGTTACTCCGACGGGACGACCCCACATGATAATCTGTCTAGCTTGATGGACGATATCTTCTTGCCCCCTCCTCCTACACCCTCCTGCCTCCTCACTATCCTCTTGCCTCGTCCTCCTGCCTCCGTCTCCGTCTGCCTCCTCCTCCTCCTCCTTCTCCTCCTCGTCCTCCTCCTCCTCCTCCTCCTCCTCCTCCTCCTCCATCTCCTCCTCCTCCTCCTCCTCCTCCTCCTCCTCCTCCCCCCCATGCCTCCTCCTGCCTCCTGCTGCCTCCTGCCTCCTCCTGCGTACTGCTGCTCCTCTCTCTTCCTTCTTCCTTCCTTCCTTCCTTCCTTCCTTCCTTCCTTCCTTCCTTCCTTCCTTCCTTCCTTCTCCTCCTCCTCCATTTCTTCCATTTCCTCCTCCTCTTCTCTTTCTCGTCGTCCTCGTCATCTTCGTCGTCGTCCTCCTCCTCGTCTTCCTCCTCGTCTTCCTCCTCGTCCTCCTCCTGCCTCCTGCATCCTCCTCCTCCACTTCCTCCTCCTCTATCCTCCTCCTTCTTCTCCTCCTCCTCCTCCTCCTCCTCCTCCTCAAGTCTTCTCTTCCTCATCCTTTGGCCTCCTCGGGCCTCCTGGAGCCTCCCGGGGCGTCCTGGAGCCTTCTTGGGCTTCCCGGGGCCTTCTGGGGCGCTCTTCCTCTTCCTGCTCGTACATCTCCGCCTCCTGCTCATCCTGCTTCCTCCTCCTCCTCCTCCTCCTCCTCTTTGTCGTCCTGCCTCTTCCTCCTCCTCCTGCCGCCTCCTCCTCCTGCCTCCTCCTTCTCCTCCTCCTGCCTCCTCCTCCTCCTCCTCATCCTCCTTGTCCTCCTCGTGCTCCTCGTCCTTCATCCTCATCCTCGTCCTGCCTCTTCCTCTGGCCTCCTCCTGCATTCCCTTGAAGCTCCGGCCTCCTCCTGGGGCCTCCTGCTGCCACCTGGAGACCTCTTGGGGCCTCCTGGAGCTTTTTGGTGCCTCCTTCCTTCTCCAACCAACCACGGCCGGCGTCGACCAAAAGCGCAACATCGGCGCTTTCGGGAAAGAAGGAGGCGGGAAGGAACGAGGATCCAACTCATCTCGCTGGATGCTCGCCCCAGCCTGCAGCGGATGCTCCTCGCACGAGGCCCCCGCTCAAAAGTTCCCGGCTGAAACTTCCTCCAACATAAGTTCGGGGGCGGAAAAGAGGGGGGTGATGACTAGGGGGGGGTGGATATCATGGCGGGGGCCATGATAATTCCCCAGATTTCATGGCGCCTCTTCTTGTTTCATTGCGTCTCTGGCCCCCCCGCTGGGCCGCGCACATGCCGCCGGTCATGATTTGCGCCCCCCCCCTCTTGGACACCCCCCTCTTGGCCGCTCCCGAGTCCTAAGACTTCTTCGCGTTGCAGGATTCCGCTGGCCCGCGCGGACTGAGAAAACACGAGGCGCGGGCCCCGTAGGGAGGGGGCTCCCACCTGAGACTTCCTCGCATTTCGCTCCACGCACGAGGCTCCCTCCTCCTCCTCCTCCATTTCTTCCATTTCCTCCTCCTCTTCTCTTCCTCGTCGTCCTCGTCATCTTCGTCGTCGTCCTCGTCCTCGTCTTCCTCCTCGTCCTCCTCCTGCCTCTTACTCCTGCATCCTCCTCCTCCACCTCCTCCTCCTCCTCTATCCTCCTCCTTCTCCTCCTCCTCCTCACTCCAGATTCAAGGCTCATGGGGCCCGAAAGTGACGACAGCTACAGGGTCCGGATGGCCCGCTCGGATGAGTAACATGGTCTGCGGGCCCCAGAGGGAGGGGGGTTCCCGCCTGAGACCTCCTCGCAATTCATTCAGGCGGGGCTCCCGTTCGAGACTTCCTTACGATGAACGCAGGTGTGTGCGTATGATGAAGAAGATTCTGCTGCTGACGGTGGTGGTGGTGATGATGATGCTGATGCTGATGATGTTGATAATGATGGTGATGCTATTAATGCTGATGCTGATGCTGCTGCTGATGATGATGCTGATGATGATGCTGCTGATGCTAATGATGCTACTGATGATGCTGATGATGCTGCTGTTGATCATGATAATGATGGTGGTTGGGATGATGATGACGACGATGAAAACGATGATGATGATGATGATGATGATGATGATGATGATGATGATGATGATGATGATGATGATGATGATGATGATGATGATGATGATGATGATTATGCTGATGCTGATGATGCTTACGGTGATGATGATGATGCTGTTGCTGCTGCTGACGATGATGCTGATGACGATAATGCTGATGCTGCTTATGATGCTGATGATGAGTATGATGATCATGTTGTGGGAGTGATGATGGTGATGACGAGATGGTGATAATGAGCGATATTTCGATCATGATAATGGTGACACTGATGATGAGACGAGTGCATAAGAGATGGATCGTGCATGGTGAGTGTGCGAAGGAGCATGGTGGTGTGAGTGATTGAGGGAATGATGATTGTGTTGTGGATGGTGATGAGGAGGCTGGTGCTGTTATGATGATGCTGATGGTGTGTTAGTGATTGGGTGACTGATTGTGCGAAGTGAGAAGAGGAGAGGGGGAGGAGGAGAAGTACTGCGCGGGTTGTCCAGAGAAAGCAAGATCCCCTCTTAGGATGTATGGGAACTAACCCAAAACAAACAAAATACTCAGTGATTCCTCGCTTCCCACACAGAAACCCAACACACACACACAACTTGAACACAGCGTTTCCTTGCACCAAGGGTGCCGAACGCAGAGGAGGAGGATGAGGAGGATGAGGAGGAGACCTGGCGTGCGGGATTCGGAGAAGGAGGAAGAGGAGGAGGACTGGGGGATGATGAGGATGAGAAGGAGGAGGAGGATGAGGAGGAGGAGAAAGAAGACGACGACGAGCAAACAATCAGTGCAGGCTTTGATGTTTCGGTGGTTTGGGAGGCTCAGAGAGGGGGCTGGGAGGGAGGCGACGGGGGGGCGAAGACTACGCCGACGGAACAGATGTTCTCAAAGAAACCGCGTGCCACACGCAGAAAATTGGGACCGCACATATATCGAACAGAGATCTGCGAACGGTTATGCAGCTGGTTAGCGGCTCGTCTGGGGCACTGGGGCCCGCGCCACTTCGGCGGCGCGGGCCCCATCAGTGCCCGAGCCGAACGCGGCATTACCGCCCTCGCTCGAAGGATTTCAGCTGCAGCTGGATTGCGGAAGAGGGGGAAGGGAGGGAGGAAGCCGCAGGAGGATCGGAACCAACGAATCACGGGTGTCGTTCGTTTGCGACATCTCGTTTGCGAAGGCGGTATTCTCGAGGGCGTCGAGATGCGGCGCTGGGGGGGACCACACACACATACATATGTATATATGTGTATATATATGTATATAAAAATGCATATACACGTGTGTATGTATACATCTGTATTATCATATATGTACATCTGTATGTGCATATATATGTACATAGGTACAAGTACGGGTGTCTGCGTCCACGCATACATGTCCATTTATTTAATTATTGATTTATTTATTATATATATATAAAAGGTATATTCGCATACATGCACTTACAACGGTGCACCGTTACCTATCACATGCGCATGTACACGCACATACATGTACACACATACACGCATGCACTCATGCGTGCATGCATGCATACACACCTTCACACATACACGCATCCACACCTACACACATAAACACAGCGCACACACACATACACACATACATACATGCATACATACGTACACACATACATATACACGTAAACACATACACACATGCGTACATACGTACGTACGTACATACATGTCTGCACGCATACGCACATACATTCTTACATGCACACACACATGCATGCACGCATACCACCATACGTACATACATACACATACATACACATACATACATACATACATACATATATGCATGCATGCACACATACATACACATACATACATACATACATACATCAAACCATACACACAATCATATGTACATACATACGCAGACGGACGCATGCATGCACGCACGCATACGAACATACATACGTACATGCGTACGTGCGTACACACACACGTCTATCCATGTATGTATGTACATATATGTATATGTATATATATATATATATATATATGTTCATACGCACCAGCGTGTATACATATATGTATGCATGTGTGTATGCATGCATGCATGCATGCATGCATGCATGTATGTGTGGATGTATGCATGTGTGTTTATGCATGCATGTATGTATTTATGCAGGTGTGTATGCATGTATGCAGATATGTATGTACATACGTATGTATGTATGTACATATATATACACATACATGTACATATGCATGTATGTATGTATGTACGTATGTATGGATTCGTGCATGTATGTATGTATATATGTCTGTATGCATGCATGTATATGCATACACATATACCTATATCTGTGTATACCGACATATACATGTCTGTGTGTATGTATACAAATTTCTCGTGCATGTACAGGTGGGAGCCTTGCACGTGCCATATCATAAAGCTGGCCGGCGTTTGCCGCAGGCCTCCTCGTCTTCTCCACCATCGCCCCCGCGATCGCCATCGCCGCCGCCCCCGCAGTGTCCGTCTTCGTCGCCGTCGCTGTCGCCGTCGTCCAGCGTCGGCATTGCCATCGTAGTCGCCGTCGCCGCCGCCGTGCAGGTGCTGCGCCGGGCGCGGCTGTTCGGCGGCCTGCGGGCGGCCCTTGCCGGCGCTGGTCGCTCGGTGGCCTTCTCAGGACCGGGCCGCGGTAAACAGAGGACGAGGAGGAGGGGGGAGGAGGAGGAGGAAGGAGGAGGAGGAGGGGAGGAGGAGAGGAGGAGGAGGAGGAGGAGAGGAGGAGGAGGAGGAGGAGGAGGGAGGAGGGAGGAGGAGGAGGAGGAGGAGGAGGAGGAGGAGGAGGAAGAGGAGGAGGAGGACAAGGTCCCGAGCGATGAAAGGAGGTGCCTGAGTCAACCGGCGCCCGCCAGCGGGGGCACAAGAGTGCATGACTGTAAGAAGGTTATGACAACAGTGCGCAGTTCAAACGAGCTACGTCGTCCCAGGCACACCTACACGAAACCGAGTGGGGGTGGAGACTCTGGGACCCACGCACCACCCAGTCTCAAGGAAGCGGCCTGTGCGGGCTGGGAGGTTCAGGCGGCGCGGGGGCCCGCCTCCCACGTTCTGCGAGCTTTTTGAACAGCAGCCGTTGCCATCAGAAGGGGCGTAGAGCTGAGAACTGCCATCGTCAGGGTTCGCCTCGTCGTGACTTTCGAGAACGAGGGGTTGGGGGGCTTGGAGGGGGTCGGAAGCGCAAGGAGGATGTGGAACTACATGTCTCGTCGTAATCAACGCGACGCCGCCAGCTCGTTCTAAACGATAGGCCATCCTTGTGGGGCACCTTCAAAGTCGAGAGGCGAATTTGGGCGCTCTCTGTTAGCGGCCAGTCAAAGTTGACGGGCGCACTGGTCTTTCGGGTGAATGGCCCCCCACTCTCGCACTTCGATGCTCTGGCTTCAACAGTGGACGGCGCAGGCAAGTTCCCTGCAGTGCGATTTCATGGTTGTTTCGTTGATTCTGGCGAGACTTCTAGGTCAACCCAGGGCTGCGGCCTGGGCAGGAGAGGTGCTCTTCTCCAGGGCGGTAGCGCTAGGGCGCGAAGATAGGCGCCCCGCGCGAGTCGCGAAGTTAGGTTCCCTGAGGAGGAGGAGGAGGAGGAGGAGGAGGAAGAGGAGGAGGAAGAGGACGAGGAAGAGGACGAGGAGGAGGAGGGGGAGGAGGAGGAGGAGGAGGAGGAGGAGAAGGAGGAGGAGGAGCCAAGGAACTCATCAAGTGCTAGGCTCCTTACTTCTGTCGTCGCTCCTCGTTCTCGTCTTTGTTGAGTCCGTCGTCGTCATGATCGTCCCGCCTCGTGGCGCCCTCCTCCCTCTCTTTCTTCCCTCCGCCCTCCCCCCCAGTCCCCGTCCTCCCTCCTGGTTTTCTCCTGCCACACCTTCTCCTGCCTTTTCTCGTGTCTCCTTGCTCCTTCCTCTTTCCTGCATGCTGCCCCTTCCTCCTCCTCGTTTCCCATCTCCTTTCCTACTCTCACGGCAAGCTTGCGCCTGCATGGAACGTCGAGAATCGGTGAGGGGGACAGGATCTATAGTTGACGCAACGGTCGGGGTAGGGAGAGGGGGGACGCAGGGGGAAGCAGAGAGATGGTCGATCGAGAGCCGAACGTGGGAGTGCTGGAGCATGGCGGGGGTGGCAGGGGTGAGGACGGCTGGGCGTGAGAGTGGGGGGAGGGGTCGGAGGAGGAGATGGGGGAGGACCAGAAGAGAACAGGGGGTTGGGTGGAAAGAGGGGGCGGAGGCTGGTCACGAGGAAGGGGAGGGAACACGGAGGGGTGTGGAGCAACAAGAAGAGGGGAGGAGGAGGAGGACGAGGAGGGGGAGGGGAGGGATGGAGGATGAGGGAGACGGCAGGAGGAGCTGGAAGAGAAGGAGGGAGTACGAGGATGATCAGGGGGGGTGATGAATAGGGAGCGCCCTCCCGGTGCTGGCGGTGCGCCAGGCCGCACCGGAGACAATTTCCGCCGCAGCAGCATAGAGCTTCGCGACCTCGCCATGCAGGACTGCTCCTTGTCTCTCTCTCTCTCTCTGCGCCCTCCAGCCTCCTGTCGCCCTGTCCTCTCTTCCTGCCCTCTGTACCCTCCTCCATCATTTGTTTTCTCCATCCATCACTCCTCCATCCTCCTCCTCCACCCCCTTCTCCTCCTCCTCCTCCTCCTCCTCCTCCTCCTCCTCCTCCTCCTCCTCCTGCTCCTCCATTCCTCCCTCCTCCTTCCTTTCTCATTCCCCTTGCATCCCCCTCTGCGATCCCTCTTCAGCTCCCTCCCTCTGGTCGCTCCATCCCTTTTCCCCTCACTCCTTCCCTCCCCTCCCTCCCGTCGTCCTCCTGCTCCTGCTCCTTGCTCCCTGTCCGATTCCGCCATAGGGGAGAAGGGCAGATTGGTTCAACGTCGCCGTCGACTGGGCAAGCCTCGGAGCCGCGATGGGGCGGCTCGAGCGAAGGCCATGATCAGTCAGGTCAGGCGTGCCGACGCCCAGACCAGGCCACATCGGATCTATTCGAACCAACGCATGGTCTAGACATGTTGGATGAGGCCGAATCGGATCTACACGCATCAGCGGATGAAAACCGACGTGCGCTCTGGACGTAACGCCATGGACGACGAGGGTTGCAGATTGTGATGGTCTTTCAGCTGTGGTGATGAGCTGGGTGGAGGCGTGGCCGAGCCGCCCCCCCGTCTTTTTCGCAGCCTGTCCTGGGCGAGCAGGGCCCAGCGCTTGCTCGCGTGGAGTGGGGGGGCCTCCCCGTTCCTTACAGCGGGCAGAGCAGGCAGTTCAGAGTAGAGATCGCTCCGATGCCTAGAGGACCGAGCTTTGGAGTTTTTCTCGCCCAATGGGCGATCCCAGAGGACGATCCCTGAGTACAGCCAGGACTCCTGGGGTTTCGGGCTCTCCGTCCAGTTCGATTTCTAGGGGGCAAAAGCTCTTCTAGCTGGGCCCGGCCGCCTTCGGCTGTGGAGCTGCCATCGGAGCAGCGCGCCGCCACCAAGGGTTGGGGGCGCGCAGTCGAAGCCGCGGCGGGGAAGATGACTGGGGAAGGCCAGCCGGCCGGATTCGAAGACCCTGCTGCGAGGTGGCGGTCGGGCGTCGCCCCTCAAGCGCTGGCGGGGTTGGCTGCGGCAGGCCTGGTCGGGACAGGTCGCCTCGAGGCTCAGGTTCTGGGCTGCTCGTGTCCCGCGGGCCCTGCGTCTGCCCCGGGGGACAATTGGCCTCGGGGCCCTGCCTATCTGGCTGGGACCGCTTATCTGAGCGCAACTCGTGCCAAGCAAGCGTCCGCTCGAGCTTCGCGCGCCAGTGTCAGGCCTCGGGTGGCGGAGACGGTCCAGCGCTGTTTTTGATAGGGCCCGCTGTCAGAACTCGCCCTGGAGAGGCTCTGGGCGGGTCTTCGGCCGATCCCTGCCCTGACGGGTCGGGGTATCGAATTTCTCGGGCCTCAGGGGCGTCCGGGACATTAGGCCCCAAGGCCAGAGCGAGTGTCTTTCGTTGCTTAGGCGGATGGAGAGTGAGCTGGCCTGGCCATGGCAACTCCTGCCTGCCTTCGTCGGTCTCGCCCACCAAGGATGCAGGAGGACAGGGGGCCGTGGTGCATCTCAGCCGGCTCGCCAGATTTTTGAGTCTCATGAGAAGCGGTATGTCGACGCGAGGGTTCCGAGGCAAGGTTGTTTGGGGAAGCAGCGCGCTTGGGGCAGCGGCCGCCGGGCACTTGATGGGCGAAGCTGCCGGCGACTAGGAATTTCTCACGGCAGCTTGTTGCTTTGCGTCGAAGCCTTTTTCGATTCCTTGTGCGCAGGCCTCCTCGTTGATCCTTGCCTCGCTCTTGAGCGCCCCCCGCCGTCTTTCCCCCCGTCGGGCCAACTCTGTCTTGGGCCTAGGAGTTTTTTGCGGGACAGATCTTTGGTCAGCGACCCCATCCCGCTTGCTTTGGGGGCGGCGGCGTCATGGCGTGACGCGAACGGCGGCGCCGTTGCATTCCTTCACGCCGAACTCGAATTCTGGCGCCATTTCTTTCTCCCCATGGGGCTGGTCGCCAAGTCCCGGGTCGGCGATGGTGATTTCCGAGTTGGGGGTCCATGGAACTGGTTATCGATTGTTTGACTGACTCCGCGGTGCAGTTTGGCAGCGCCACCCAAGGGGGTGGCCTCGACCTTCCGGGGAAGGCGTGGTCTCGTCCTCGGCGGGGACAATTGCGGCAGGGATCGCAGCCTCTCTCCGCTCCGTCGGCCTTGAGGTCAAGAGCCGCGGGGCCGCGGCGGACGGCGGTGTTGAGAGGGGCCAGAGATGCTTGCAGCAGCCAGCCAGGCACAGGGCGCGCGCGAAGCTGGTTGCATGGCGAGCTAGCGAACTCGTTCGAAGTGTTAGATGTGCACTGGGGGCCAACGCTGCGCTTGGGATGACCGCCACTGGGATCATGCGTCGGATTGATTGCAGAAAGAAGGTGCTCCCGCCTTCGCCTCAGCCACTGCGGGAGCTGAGGCGCACTCTCGGGAAGTCTGCGACCTCTAGGGCCAGGGGTCGTCGCCGCGCTGCTGCCTTGCACCTGGAACGTGGAGACGGGGATTCTGCCATTGGTAGAGCCTGTAGGAACCATCAGCTTCTGGTCTGATCTATTGTCTTCCTCCAGCCTTCTGCGACGCAGGGCACCAAGGCGTGGCCTTTGGTGCTCGAGGGTCGCGAGGAGGCCGAGCCCAGCTAGCGTTGGGAGGCGATGAGTGGCGTGATGGTGGGAACGATATTCGCGTTCCACTCCGCTGGGTGGAAGCCAGTGGGGCCCTGGGACTGGATCCACCCTCGCGGGAACAGGTGCGATGTCCTTGGGGGGGAGGGGATGTTGGATGGCGATCCCGATCGGGGACCTTTTGTTTTTGAGGAGGCGTGGAGACTCTCGGGCTGGAGAAAGGCCGCCAAGCATCAGAACGTGAAGGCCTGGGGCGTGGGGCTGAGGCCTCTGATTCGTTTGAAGCGATGCCCCTCTGATTCGTTTGAAGGAGGAGGAGGAGGAGGAGGAGGAGGAGGGGGAGGAGGAGGAGGAGGAGGAGGAGGAGGAGGGGGAGGAGGAGGAGGAGGAGGAGGAAGAGGAGGAGGAGGAGGCCTTCATGCTTCATACCACATCTCGCATTTATCCTAGGTGTCTTCGATGCCGAGCGGGTGTGCCAACGCGCGCCCTCCTGCCTTCCTGCCCCCTCCTCTAGGGACACAAGCAATGACATAAACATGAAAATTCGGAGGTCCGCGCGGACTCCTCGGATCGTCGCTGGGGTCCCCTGGGGGTCGCTCCGCGCGCCAGGGAGGGGTGTCTAGCACCGATCTCAGAACACCGCGCGGACCTCAGAGCTTTCATGTTTATGTCATTGGTTGTGCCCCTATCCTTCTTTTCCTCCTTGCTCTCTTGATACTTGGCACGGGGATTCTTACCCTGCCCTCAAAACTGGCTCCCCGGACCACCCCCGTGGCCCGTTTTGCCAAGACGATCGACGGGAATCCAGCCGCGCAACGTGAGGCTTATAGGAGGCTTAGAAAGGGTGAACACGTCCAGTCTCCTCGAGTCTCGACCATCCCCCGCAGCCTCGCTGCCGTGCGCGCGGCCCTTTGCTTGAACTGCCCTCCCTCTCGGGAGCGTCCAAGAGGGGTGTGACAACTATGGGGGTGGATGTCATGGCCCGTGCCATGAGATTTTGCCAGATTTCTTGGCCCCCTCTTCTTATTTCATTGCTTTCCCTGGCACCCCCCTGTGTCCTCGCACGTGCTTCGTGCCAGGAGGAGGAGGAGGATGAGGAGGAGGAGGATGAGGAGGAGGAGGAGGATGAGGAGCCCGCGGATGACTCCAGAGGGCCCCAGGACGGCCCAAGAGGCCCCCAAGACGGCCCAAGGTGAGCCCCAGAGTGGTCCGAAGACAGGCCCAAGTGGGGGAGCACGAACCCACAATTCCAGTCTGCCGCCCCCACAGGCCAACAGGAGACTTTCAAATCCGAGGCGGGAATTTACGCATGACCACCGCCTGGAGGATCAATTTCGGGGATCTCGGCAGGCGGTGGATATGGACATATTCGGACCCCCGGGGGCCAACATGTATCCATATCCATCGCCCGCTGGGGCACCAGGACGTCGGTTCCCAGGCGGTTGATATGGATAAACCCCCGCCTCGCATAAAAGGTCCCGCAGAGGTGCCACGAGGCCCCCAAGAGGCCCCCAATAAGCCCCAAGATGCCCCTCGAGGTTTGAAAGAGACCCCAAGAAGTGCCCAAATGGCACCCCAAAGGTTCCAAAGAGGTGCCAACGAACACCGCAGAGGCTTCTGACACACGGCCCCGGCACCATTGCAGGATTGTCTGAAGGCCGATTGTATATACACATGCATATGCACAATTATGCATACATAGGTGTATACATGCACAACTTTTCACACAAACTGACACACACACATAAATACATACAGTCATGCACATATATATATATATATATATATATACACATACATACATACATACATACATACATACATACATACATACATACATACATACATAATACATACATACATACATACATATATACATGCTTACATACATACATATGCACATATGCATACATGCATGTATGCATACATATACTGATACATATACGTCTACACATACACATGTACGCATACATATACGCATACTTATACATATACACATACATTTACCTATACGTATACGATACCACATACACATACATCTACATACAAACATACATACACATACATCTACACACGCAAACATATACACATGCGTATCCATACACATACACACGTATTCACACATATGCATATGGATACACATATGCATACGCATACACACATACGTACACACATCACATACACATATACATACACATACGCGTATACATATACATAGTCATATACGTATACATATACATGCACATATGTATAACACGTTCACATCTACATTGTGTAGATGCACATTCACTCCTGCATACACATTTACATGCACATATGCATAGACATTTACACACATTATGCGTATTCACTTATACATACATATGCATATGTACATGCATATACACACATACATACACAAATACATCGACATACACATACAAATACACATACGTTCACATTCACACATACATACACATATGTGCACATATCCAGATACATATCCGTACCCATATCCATATCCATTCACATACACATATACGCATGCATTTGCACACACACATATACACATGCATACACATTTACACACATATGCATACACATATACATGTATACATACATAAACACATACGCATACATATACAAATATATGCACACATACATTTACATACACATGTACATATATATATATATACGTACATATATATACATATGCATATGCATGCATGCACGTGTACATATACATATGACCATATATATAGACACTTCACATTTACATATCAACATACACATGTAAATCCGATACTAGCTATGAAGTCACTTGGATTTCGAGTGGCTCTGAAGATTCTGGACGGTCGTCAAATTGCGCAAGCCTGCTCCAAGAGGAGCCCCACAAGGCCTCGGCCTTCCAAGCGCCCCAGGGTTTCCTATGACGGCCCCAGAGACGTCCCAGAGTGCCTCCCATGGCCTCTGAAAGCGTCAGGTGGGCCGAGAGCGCCCCACAGGAGCCCGAGGGAACCCCAAGACGGTCCACTGGGGCCCCTGGGACCCTTCAAGATGACCCCCAGACGGCCGAAGATGGCTTCAAGACGGCCCTCGAGGCCCCACGGTAACCCGCGAGCAGGAAGGACGCAGGAGATAGGAGAGACGAGCGTGAAGGGAGGGACCGCGGGTGGAAGGGAGGAGCCAGAGAGATGAGCAAGTAGAGGGGAGAGGAGTCGGAACATAATTGGGGAGAGCGAGTAACGGGAGGAGTGCATCAAATATTCCAAGCGGTTCGAAACACTTGCAAAACAGATGTGGAGATACGCACCAATTGTGTCGAGACGCTGACCTGTGTTGCGCTAGAACCTAAGCGCTCGCGGAGCTCGCGCGTGGTTCTACTTATATTTACATGTGTACACTTGTGTACATGCATCTGTTGTCCAAAACCTGCTAAGAAAATGATGACCCCCCTCCCCCCCAGATTCCGACTCCCATTAATTCGCAGCCGAATAGCTATTCTATAAATTTTGCCCCCCCTGGAAAATATTCCACGGAGACCGAAGGATGCGATTGATAAATGCAGCATGCATTGGTAGCTGCGTGTGAGCTGTATGCGTGCAGATGTGCAGGCTACTTCGGTCGACGAGTACTCCGAGTTTCTTGCTAAGCGTCAGGGGGGCGTCACCCCCGCCGACAACCCCACATCGACCCCCGTCGCGGGCAGCCATCGCGCGCCAAAGGCGCTCCGACCCCCGTTGCGGCGGGACGACGAGGCGAGGTTGACCCCCGTCGGAGGGGTACCCCCTACGCTTATTAAGAAACCCAGAGTAGGTGGTTTTCGTCTTACGGGGACACTGTACGTACGTACCCGCGCGACTGCGCGCGGTGGCGTCCAGTTCTCGCATTCGGTAGTCTTTGGTGCCTGATGGGCCCAGCGCCACCGCGCGCGCCTCCCGCGCCCGGCGTGCGCGCGCGGTTTTCCAGTCTGGATCACGCGTCTGGCGTCCGCGTGATCCAGTAAAGAGGGGGTGCGCAGGATTCCGCCCCTGCACGCGGAGCGCCAGGGCGGTCGCGGCGACGTGCCCGGCGGTCCTGTTTGACCTACCTTCCTTGTGGTTTCAATATGCGCGCTACAGCGTTTTTTGTTTGTTTGTTTAGTTTTTTTGTTTTTGTGTTGTTCTTGCGATCCACCCCGCGACCAACCCCGCGACCCACCCCGCGAACCACCCCGCGACACACCTGCGACCCAACCCGCGACCCACCCGCGACCCACCCCGCGACCCACCCGCGACCCACCCGCGATCCTCCCGCGACCCACCTCGCGACCCACCTGCGACCTACCCCGCGACCCACCCGCGACCCAGCCCGCGACCCATTTACAACCCACCCGCGACCACCCCGCGACCCACCCCGCGACCCGCCCGCGACCCACCTGCGATCCACCCGCGACTCAGTCGCGACCCATGTGCGACCCAGCCGCGACCCACCCGCGACTTACCCACATTGGTTTAACGAAAAAATCGGCGCCTGCGGCGGGCTCGGTGTATAATTTGTGAAGGTTTGGCGCCAATGGCGGGCTTCGCCAGCGTCTCGCAGACAGCCTACGTCCCCACCGCCCCTTCACCCTTATCCGCATCTGGGGGGTGCTACGGTATATGTATATATGTATGTATAGATATATACATATCGGCGCACGAGTCACATATATATATATATACACATGTCCGTTCATAATATGTAAATAGGTCGTTAATTTTTTCAAACGCTGCTTGCACTGAGGAGTTCTGACTTCTGTCCCTGTGCACTTGGATGGGTCCGGCAAAGATTTTCCACGTTGCCGCCCGTGGCCGCCTTGTGGCCGCCCCGGGCTATGAGTGTAATCAGTGATGTTTGGCCACGTTGCCGCCCGCGGCCGCCTCGTGCGCTGGGTTGGTCCGGTGAGGCTTCGTCGCGGTGCCTCCCGCGTCCGCCTCGTGGCCGCCTCTTGCTTGCACTGTGAATGCTGCATCGCATAGCTTGCACCACATAGCTTTTTCCAGTAAACTTAAACATCCGCAGTGCAACTTTTTGGGTTCCGCGCTAGCTACCACATATGTGTACATAAAAACGTAGATGTAGAATCGACATCCTCTTGCCGTCCCCCTCTCAGCAGGCAGCCTGCGGAAGCGTCGGCGCGCCCGGTGCCGTGGAACCCCGGGCCTTGACGCTGGTCTTCGGCTCCGAGGACACGGGGCTCACGACGGAGGATGTCCTCCTGTGCGACGACGTGTGCCGACTCCGGACGGCGTCCTGCCCGTCGCTGAACCTGTCGCACGCGGTGGCTTGCCGCTAATAAGGGCGATCGAAACGAGTACGGAAAAAAATGGGTACGAAAACCGACAGTAGTTTCTTGTCCTTATGAACAGGGAACAGGACTCGCCGTCGGTGTCGCCGCGGACGTTGTCCATTTGAGACACACGGCCGCCTGCCCAACAGCGGCTGCTGTGGGTTTTGGGCTGCATTTGTTGCTGGGCATCGTCAGAGTGAGGGGGCCGAGCGGTCATTCATTGTCTCTGGGTGCGTGGGGATCCGTGGTGAGGATTCTGCTTGTTGCGTTATTGCGTTGTTGTTGTTTCTTTGTTTGTTTGTTGTCGTCGTCACACCCGCGACCCACCCGCGACCCAGCCCGCGACCCACCCCACGACCCACCCCGCGATACACCTGCGACCCAACCCGCGACCCACCCACGACCCACCCGCGACCCACCCGCGACCCACCCGCGACCCACCCCGCGAGCCACCCGCGACCCAACAGCGACCCACCCTCGACCCAGCCGCGACCCATCCGCGACCCATTTGCGACCCACGCGTGACCCACTCGCGACGACCTACCCACCTTGGTTTAACGAAAAAATCGGCGCTTGCGGCGGGCTTGTTGTAAAATTTTTGAAACGTGTGCGCCTGCGGCGGGCTTTCCCAGAGTCTCGCAGACTGCCTACGTCCCCACCGCCCCCTCACCCTTGTCCGCATCTGCGGGGTGCTACGGTGCGCAGTTTTTTCCGTACCCATTTCGGGCGTGCGCAGGTAAGGTAAGGGGATTTTGAGGGGAAGCGCGATTTCCGCACGTTGTTGTTTGTTTGCTTGTTTTTCCTTGTTTGGCTTGTGTTTGCGCCTTCGGCCTCCCTGTGGCCCCCCTCAGGCCCTGGGGCCGTGAGGAAACTGCCCGGGATGAGCTGGTCCTTGGGGAAGTCCCAGGGTCCATGTCCCCGTCTCCTTTAAGGCCTTCGGGGCGCGCACGAGGGGGTGGTTCAAGGATGGTTGGTCTTGTAAGAAGGCGGAGTGTTTGTTAGAAGGCGGGATGTTTTCGAGAATGCTTATTAGACGCTGACAGGGCCTTTGAGAAACCCATGACCTTTTGTAGAAGCTCCGCCACTCTCTTAGTCCACCCTCCTCAGGCCACCTCCATATGCGCGATGCCAAAGGGTCCCTTCTCTTCGTGATAAGGTGGCCGTGGTGCTGGCGCGCCTGCACGAGGATCGCCGTGGGCGGGAACGACGTCGATATCCACGGACTCGCGGTCCAGTCTCCTCGGTCGTGGCCCCACCGAAATTGGGCTGCTCTGCGTGGATGCTCCGCGCGGGGATCGTCCCTCGTTGTCCAGATCGTCAGGGCGTGAATCTGGACATGCTCGTCGCTCGTGAGATCGGGAGGGGGGGACGTACGCAACATCGCAAGGCATCCGCAGGACAGTTGCGGGCCAGATCCTGGTGTGCACGACCTCCCAACCTGGCAGGGAGCCGATGTGCACCAGGGCCTGGGCCAGACGGAAAAGGCTTGCGGAGGCTTGGTGGTGGTGGTGTGTGCTGGGCTCGCGCCGCGTTGACGCGGCGGCGACCCCAGCGCGGGGATTTGAGGTTGAACGCCGCTGGTTGCCCAGAAGCGGCTAGCATGGAACGCTCTGCGCTACCGGAAAGCCACGGTCGTTGTTGGTTGTGAAGAGCGGCGTCAGGACTTCTTCTCTTCAGCAGGGTCGGTATGAACGCTTCAGCGTAGAGGTCTGGTACCACAGTGGCCAAACGACGCTCGGCCGTCGCCGAAAGTCAGGGGAGCTCTTCGCCCCCGTGTCGCGCTTAAGGGACCCTCTGCTGCTGGTTTTTCATACGTCAACCTGTCCGCATTCGTGCGCACGGGGTCTGTTTATTTGCGGCGGGCAGCGTGGGCCGACTGCGGTCAACGTCGCGCGGCACTGTTTGCCTGCGACGGGGGTCGTTTAGGGGTCGTCGGCTGGGTGGCCCCCCCCCCCACGCTTAGTACCAAACGCAGAGTATCACTTGGCATCGCACGGAGGCGTGTACCTCTTGAGCAAAGCATGATGCACGACACCGAACACTATTACACGATGGTAAGTTCATCAACAACACAACTGATCGAAGATCCCTACGGCGAGTCATCGCCGCCCCCTGCCTTTTTGGAAGTTACTAATGTGGTCGGAAGTCGGAAGTTTGATCAGAGCTCGGCCAAGCTATCGGACCATGTTTTCCCCGAGTTGGTTTGGAAAGCAGTCGGGGAACACGTGGGCGACAAGGAATACAACGAAGAATCCGATCAGGTTTCATGTATCGTTCTTGGGGGCCTCCCTGCCTTTTTGAACAGCGCCTCTGCGGCCAAACGTTTGGGCCCGAGCTTGGATAAGTTATCGGGTCAGGTGTTCCTCGAGCCGCTGGGAGCATCTTTTAGGGAACGCTTGGAGGAGCATGAGGCGGAATAGGATAGGAAGAGAAGTGGGCGATGGTGGAGGAGAGCTCTTGGGAGACTCTTGGGAGCCTCTTGGGACACTCTTGGGGCCTCCTGGGAGCTTCTTGGGGCCCTCTTGGAGGGCTCTTGGGGGTCCCTGTGGGCTTATTGGGAGCCTTTGGGGGTTTCGCGGTGGCCTCTTTGGCCGTCTTAAGGCGTTCCTGGCCTGTCTGATGCCGTCGGAGACTGTCTTGGGGGCCTCTCTGAACCGATTTGAGGCTTCTTGGGGTGCTTCATGGCCGTCTTGGAGGCCATTTGGGGCGTTTTGGAGGCCTCTTGGGCCGTCTTGGGGCCCTCGTGAGGGCCGTCTCGGGAGCTTCCTAGGGCCATCGTGAGGCGATCTCGGGGGCCTCTTAGCCGTCTTGGGCCGTCCGACGGCCGACAAGAAGCACATGCCAGAATCCTTCAAACACCCAGGGAAAACCAATGGTTTGGGCCTCTTCGGGCTTTCCTGGGGGAGCTCTTGGAGGCCTCTTGGGTCGTGGAAGCCTCTTGGGGGCCTCTTGGGCCGTCTTCCGTCATCTTGAGGTCGTCTTGTGGGCCGTCTTGGAGGCTTCTTGGGCAGACTTGGAGGCATCTTGGACGCTCCTGGCCATCGTGGGCCATCTTGGGCGAACTTGAGGGCCATCTTGGCTGTGTTGGAGACCATCTTGGGCCGTCCCGGAGCCATCTGGCGCGGGACAAATGTTTGCAACCGCCTCTGCCAGAGCCTTCTGGGTGGCCGGCGGCATGCGCCGAAGCCCCAGAGGGAGTTCTGTGGGAAAAGAGCGACAACCGAGAATGGTAGGGTCTAGCACGCCAGGCACTCCTGTGATAAATCGACAGGGGGCGGCGGATGACGGAAAGCGCGCGTCGCGTCGCGATCCGTGACTCGGGAGAAATAACGAGGGGGGGTTGGGGAGGGTAGGCAGCAGCACCCCCAGATGACGGAAAGCGCGCTTGCGTCGCGATCCGTTAGCCGGGAGAATTAACAAGGGGGGTGTGGGGGGGTAGGCCACACGGGGCGCAGATGACGGAAAGCGCGCGTAGCGTGCGATCCGCTAGTCGGAATACATGGAATTGGGGGGAGTTTGAGGGGGGTGGCATCTGCATTGCAGGGTCTACGGGCCCGCCCTTTTCCCTATTAACGGAGCCCTTAACAGGGAACATCGGGTGCTTTACTGGCCCGCCCGTTTCCCTGTTCGCGGACCGTCGACAGGGAAATTGCACGCTCGGGCACCCCTTTTCCTTGTTAACGGAGCCCTTAACAGGGAACATCGGGTGCTTAACAGGGAAAATCGGGTGACGGACGCGTTTTTCCCTGTTAACGGACCGTTAACAGGGAAATTGCACGCTCAGGTCTAATGGCGGCAACACAAACATCTCTGAACACCGCGGCTTCCAAGAGCGAGCAGTGACGTAAACAAGCTGATAAGACCAAGGTTCCCAACAGAGAGCGGTAACGTAACAAGTTCTTGACACCAGGGCGCGAAACGGGCGGCAACGTAAGCTCCGCGTAAGCTCCGCGTAGGCTTGGCGTAAGCGCGTAAAGTCCTCGTCAACTTGATGTACTTTCAAGACAGCCCGTGAGAGGCCAAGCGTCCTCCAAGACGGTCCAAGATGCCTCCAAGACGACCCAAGAGGCCAGAGGCCCGTAAGATCGCCCCAAGATGGCCAACGATACCCCCAAAACGGCCCCAAGACGTGTTCGAACATCTGCACGTATGCAGACGGCTTCAACGGCCTCCAAGACTGCGTAGAGAGGCCCAGACGGGCCCGAGGACGGCCCAAGAGCGATCCAGATTGCCCACGACGGCCTCAATACGGCTCAAGAGGTCTCCAAGACCCCCCCCCCGAGCACCGATGGGCGGTCTAAGCGGGAAACAAAAACGAAAGTAGGGCCTTCGCCGCCCGGGGGGCGCCCTTGGCCCCCTCCTTACTTGCGTAAGCTCCTCGCCAGCTTGAGGCACCTCCAAGACGGCGTGAGAGAGGCCCAGACGGGACCGAAGACGGCCCAAGAGCGATCCAGCCCAAGCTAGCCCAAGATGGCCTCTGAGGACAGAAGGGCCCCAAGAGGCCTCCAAGACGCCCACTCCCAAGAGAAGCGGCAACCCGAGAGGACACCCAAAAGTTGCTCGAGAAGGACAATATGATTCGTTTTATCGCGCTCTAGTGCCTTCCCAAGAAACCAACACGCCCTGGTTCCCCTTCAAGAGGTCTCCTGCAGCTTCGAGATAGCCCTAGAGGGCGCCCAATATGCCACCAAGAGGCCCCAAGAGAGCCTCCAGGCGGGGAGACAGAGAGAAAGAACGGGCAAGCCAGCGACATCTCGCGCTCTGAACGTAAATGCGCTTTCCGCCCCCGTGCCAAGCAGGTAACGGAAAGAGCGAGGTACGAGTGAATGACGTTGTATTGTGGGGCAAAGCCCTTAAGGGGGGAGTGCAGAGGGGGATGGAGCGGTCTAGGGGGAACGGTTTAATGGCCGTTTTCGGGTTCCCCCTTAGGTTTTTGTATGTTTTTCGGGTTCTCGTTCCCAATACGGCCCCAGAGGCGCTCCAAAGGGGCCCAAAAACGGTCCAACAGGGCCCCCAGACAGACCCAACGCGCCCAAGAGGCCCCCAAGATCGTCCCAAGACGGCCCAAGAGGCCCCCCGAAACGGAGCCAAACATTATCCAAGAGGACCCCAAGCGGCCCCAGAGGGACCCAACAAGGCCCAAGAGGGCCCCAAGACACCCAAGAGAGCCCCAAGAGGGCCCCAAGAGGGCCCAAGGGGCTACCAAGCGGGCCCCAGGAGGATGGGGAGGAGGAGCGGGGAGGAGGCGGAGGCGGAGGAGGAGGAGGAGGAGGAGGAGGAGGAAGAGGAGGAGGAGGAGGGGAAGGAGGAGGAGGAGGAGGAGGAGGAGGAGGAGGATGAGGAGGGCGGAGGAGGAGGAGGAGGAGGACGAGGAGGAGGAGGAGGAGGGAGGAGGAGGAGGAGGAGGAGTAGGAGGAGGAGGAGGAGGAGGACGGAGGAGGAGGAGGAGGAGGAGGAAGAGGAGGAGGAGAGGGGAGGAGGGATGAGGAGGAGGAGGAGGAGATGGGAGGAGGATGATCTGTGTGGAGGAGAGGAGGAGGAGGAGGGGAGGAGGGGAGGAGGAGGACGAGGAGGACGAGGAGGAGGAGGATTAGGAGGAGGAGGAGGAGGAGGAGGAGGAGGAATAATAATAATCATAGTAATAATATGAATACTAGGAAGAAGAGGACTAAGGCGAATCATACTATCACTAATAATAAAATGGAGACGAACAACACTAGGAATACGAATAATAACAATCACAATACTAAGACGGCGACTACTAATACGACTAAGCATATTTATACTATCAATAGTAGTAAAGAATGGTAATGCGACGAATATCACTAATACTATTAATACGAATAGTACTAATTAGAAGAATAATAAGAGCACTACTAATCCGAAAACGAATACGACGACGACTAACTATACGACTAAACACACTAAGGAGAGCAATACGACGAGCACGACTCATACTATTAACAACGTGACTAATGACACTATTACTAATAATGCTACGAGTACTACTACTACTACTACTACTACTACTACTACTACTACTACTACTACTACTACTACTACTACTACTACTACTACTACTACTACTACTACT